CTATTAGGAATACATTTACCATGAAGGGATGTACTTGTTCTGCAAAAATGTTTGGATAGGTGGTATAGGAACATCTACATGAATGTCAGGACTCAAGGTTTCCCACCAGAACATTGTCCAAAGCATCACACTGCCTCCACCGGCTTGTCTTCTTCCCCTAGCACTTCCTGGTGCCATGTCTTCAGCAGGTAAATGGCACAAACGCACTTGACTGTCCACGTGATGTAATACCACCTTCTTCCATTGCTCCATGGTCCAGCTCTGATACTCACATGCCCATTGTATGCTCTTTTAGCAGTAGCTTGGGGTTTGTATGTGCGGTTTGACTGGTCTGCAGCTACGCAGCCCCATATGCAGCAAGGTGTGATGCACTCGGTGTTCAGACACCTATCTGTCATAGCCAGCATTAAGTTTTTCAGCAGTTTGCACTACAGTAGCTCTTCTGTGGGATTGGACCAAACAGGCTTGTCTTTGCTCCCCATGTGCATCAGTGAACCTTAGGCGCCCATGACCTGGTCACTGGTTCACCAGTTCCCCTCTTCTGGACCACTTTTGGTTGGTGATAACCACTGCAGACTGGGAACATCTCACAAGACCTGCTGTTTGGGAGATACTCTGACCCAGTTCTAGCCATCACATTTTGGCCTTTATCAAAGTCACTCAGAACCTTACACTTTTCTGTTTTTCTCTGTGACCGACCCATGAACTTCATGAAGTGACTGTTGTCCAGCCTTTGACAGGTGTCATTGTAATAAGATAATCACTGTCATTCACTTCATCTGCCAGTGGTTTTAATATTGTGGCTGATCATTGTATACTGTTAATTCTCAACCTTCTGGTTGTAGTTGAACTGAGATGTGGATAATTGGTTATAAATCTGTAATTAGGAAAGCTTTCTCATTAAGCATGCAGTTAATTTATTAAATAATAGCTCATTGATTGAAGTCAAACAATGCATAATGGATATCTTTATCAAATTACCTGTAAACATCTTATTCCGGATGGTTGAGGTCATTAAGTTTTTATGTCACTCAGTCGTTTGCTGTGTATAATTTAAAATAGGTTTAGCAGTTATCCTGCTCTTGCACTGTTTAGGCTACAGAGGCCTCTGGCAAGACTGCTGAGGCTTTTGAACAGCTGGCCAAAGAGAAAGCCAGTTTGATGCAAGAAAAGAACAAAGTTCAGTCTGTGGTGGAAGAGCTCCGGAGCTCCAAGCAGGAACTAGAGGCCCAGGTATGAGATCAGTCTAAAAACAGAGAAAATGCCAACATAAGCCTTCAGTGGTTGAGTATTTCTTTCATTAAGTAATGCTGTATATGTGAGAGGGACGGAGTGAAGTGAAATTTTTGTGTCTTACAAATTTAAATATTTTGTCCTTGTTTTAGCTGGAAACATTGAAGAAAGAGAATTTGAAGTACCAAGAAGATCTGAATGTATCCAAAGAGGAGCTTTGCACAGAAACCAAGAGGACCAAGAGTCTGTGCCAGGAAATGTGAGTGTATATTCTCAATTTCATCGTTTCAACAGAAATTTGTCAGATTAAAATTTTTATAGTAGGATATTAGTTGGCCACAGTATATCGATAGGTAAGAAGGGGTTTCTACAAACAAGTATGTGGTGTACATGAGTTATCTGAATTTCTTAAATTACTAACATTTGTATCTATTCAGTGACGAGCTTAAAGAAGCGGTTTCTGTGAAGTCGCAGATGCTGCAAGATGAGAATAACAAGCTGATTCAGGAGCTTGATAACAAGCACAAAGGCCAGAGTGATCTTGTAAAGGTACAACATGTTAACATAAACCTGCAAATATCTAATATTTGGTGTTTCGGTTTTTGATTTGTTGAGCCCGACTGAATCTGAACTGCTTTTTTTTTTTCTAGCTCAAGGAAGAGCGCTCCAAACTCAAAAAACAACTGGAGGAGTTGAAGCAAAGGTAAGACAATAAATGCAGTATCATTTTGTGGTTTACACAGTTTCTCTCATATCTGCACCTGTAATGCGTGAGCTTTGTTTGATGCCTGTTGTCAAAATAAGCACTAATAGTTGTATCTGTCTGATGCTTGGTAATCTGCAGTGCATTTATGATTAAATGAATGGTATGTCATGCTGTTTTTTTTTCCTTCCAAGACTTCCAAATAATGCCGTCAGGTACTCCACACCTTTAATATTATGTGGTGTCAATAATCATCATGTAATGGTGCAAATGTATTAACCATATGCATATAGGCAGACGATTAGGAATGCGAGGGCAAAGCATGATGCGTCCTGAGTCATCACGCAAAAAGTAACAACCTACAGCCCCATTCCACCTGCTTGACGGTTTCACATGCATTTTTTTTTTTTACATTGTGCAGAGCATATGAGTGGAGTGGAGCAGTGAGATTTTTTTATTTTGCTGTCTTACCATCATAGCAAATATGTCCATTGACTACCTTCAATTTCTGTTTGTCACCTTGAATTTTATTAAAGTTTTTTGTTACGGCACAAAGGCTCAGGTGAATAGTTTGAACTACAGTGTTGGCAACCTGGTGAGAAACAGTTTGGTAAAAGGGAGTGGTTGTATACGGTACCTCTGAGATGTAACTGATTTTGTGTATTTGATAGTGAAAACGTCTTGAAGGAGCAGTTGGACAAAGAGAAGGCCGCTTTCCAACAGTCCATACATAAAAATAGTGCCTTAATCTCAGAAAAGGACCAGGAGGTGAAGGAGCTGAGGAGCGAGGCGAGTATCTCATGCATGGTGCTACTCTCTTGACCTAAAACTGCTGACCATGCACAAAATGAATTCACACAAATTGAGATTTGCACAGAAAGATGACTGTTAAAGCCCATATGTAGCTCTTGGCACCATTAAACAAAT